ATACAGCAGAGAAAGTTGGAAATGGTGGAGATGAAGGGGAGGTTCAAGGAATCAATTGGTTGCTCACAGAATTCTATGTTCACTGCCAAGTTGTATGCCATTTCTCTTGCCCTTCTCAGTGGAATGCATAACTATGCCACAAAGTATTGATTATATTCGGCTCTCAAAAAGTATGAAAATGTATCCGTATGTCTGTCATTGTCAACGTACATCGACCATTTTACTAGGACTATGAGGAATAATAATCTGTATACGTCTACCAAGTTTCATCAAAATCCAATCATTTTTGACTGAGTTATAGAGCAAAAGTAGTGTGAAAAAAATTGGTCCCAATGTCAAAAGATTGGGATTTTTATTATTTTGTGACCTTGCTATGACTTTGACCCTCCAAAACCTAATCACTTTTAACTTTTGTCCATTCAGCCATTTTTGAGAAATCTTGCTGACAAACAAACACACAAGGGTGTAAACATAACCTCCATCATCTTTGGTGGTGGAGGTAACAATTGGTGGTATGTTATAGACAGTACTTGATAACAGTTTCTCCTACTTTTTACTGTATCTATTTAATGCCATAATAAAAACAATACTAATATAAATGTAGTTTAATTTGTTTGACATTGTAATAATTTGTTTTGTTAATTTTGAGGTATACACATAAACTTTTATGGGTTGTATTGCTATAAATGTGTTATGTACTCCACTCAAATACTTGGTAAGCAAAGCTAGTGGTTAGTTAAAGCTATGATTATATCATATTACTAGAGTTATTTGATATTTATATCTAAAACTCACTTAACCATTGAAAACCATGAGTTAGTAATGATTTTACTGGTAGTTACTAGTAAAAACTTTATTGTTGTAAAGGGATTAGCCAAAATACATGTCATTAAACATTTTAATTTATTTTTTAATTGCTGTGATTCCATGAGTGATAGGAATATCTTTGTTAATGTCAGTGATTACTTTTAATTCACCGGAACAAGTGCATTTCAGTGAAATAAACATAAATTTAAATGTGGGTACATTCTTCATGTATAACTATTACTGTAATGTCTAACAGCCAGAAGTAAGTAAAATAGTGCTTAAGCAACATAGTGGTAATTCAAGGGTTAACATAGAACTCACTTATCTGCTCTCCATAAAAAAAAAAAAATGTTTCAGGATTTAGTATTTGAATGAATGAGTGCAGTTCTTTGTTGCAAATTGATTGAAAGAGATAAGAGGTGATTAAGTCTTGAATAGAAGTATAATTCTTTATTGCTGGTAAAAATAAATTGAAGAGTAGCTGCTCATTAGAGTGGACTTTTGCATTGATATGTGCTGGTGCATGATGATGTCATCATGTGACAAAAGACCTTTACCAATAGGAGGGTGACACATCCTCCTTGTGCAATAACTCCACCTATACACTTGCACTCATGATAACATCATTTTTCTCCTCAGCATTGAACAAATGTGTTCAGAATTTCTTGTCTGGGTTCAATTTAATGAGATTTGCATGGGTCTGTCGATTCCCCCAGTTGGTATATTCATCTCTAGATGTGGATACTCATAGGCTATTTCACACATATTTGCATTCAGTTCGTCACCTAACTCATTCTCTTACTTCCCATATTTGCCAGCCTTTGGACGGGATCCTCCAATTGGGCATGTGGACAATTCCACATGCATTTGTCTCTCATTATCTATACCATGTGGCTGTTTTGTCTCCAGCTGGATTTTGACTTCCACTCTGATTGTCATTCTTCAATCAACCCACCATCTTTGAGAAGAGTAAGTACATTTTCGTTTTTAGCCCCCTTTACATTTATTAGGATCCTGTCAGGTGGCTGGTGTTGTCTCCCAGAGTATGCTTATTTCCCAAAATCTACATCGAGCCCGAATAACGTAAAGCACCCAAGCCATCTGCCCTTGCTCTACTAGTGCCCACTTAGAGATGGGGGTGTTCTGTTAAACCACTTGAGGTATATGTACTTACTCAATTGTCCAATCCAGACTGTACCAATTTCATTGACTATCATGGAAAAAGCCAGCACTAGAGAAATGTTCTGCTCACTTCTTTGGCTCATGCTTGCCAGCTTTTGAAAAATAAGGTTTCATGGTCACCATTGCACTGTTTCCAATAAAACTTTTCTGGCTGGTGCTCTGATGGGGATCCATGCACTTTTCTGAGCCCCCCCTCCCCCGTATGAATTCTCACCCCTTTTCTTCATGTGGAACACATGAGACTCTTGCCACTTAACAGTTTCTAGCTGCTGGAGCAGTGGATCCTGGAGAATTCTCACTAGTTGGGCTTAGCACAATATGGTGGGAAGTGGGGGTGGTGGTTACACTGTGAGTGTAGTACATGTCACCCCTAAATAAAACTTACCGCAAAACTAATTTGCTCTCCTGCAGCCAGATCCTGTTCAGTAGAGTTAGGTACAGTCTGACCATCCCTAACCACACTACACATATTGGCTTGCCAACTGCTTGTGTGCAAGTGCTCAGACAGTTGTGTTCTCATTCCACTCATCCCTGTGACAATAAGGCTCATCTGCTTATTCTCCCTTACGTTCTGGGTGAAGAGCATACCCTGGTTGAGACGAGGTGTGGTCTCCTGCATGTGGCATGTGTCCCTGTGGAGCCCTTACCATTGGTTGTTAAACTCCATGGGCTTCCTTTTGGTGCCTTCCCAAAGGAGCTCATGTAGGTAAGCTTTTGCACTGGCCCCTCCACAATTTCAACATGGGATTTAAGTATTTCTTTGTGAGGAGGTGAGTTATTATCTCAGAAGTTAATGATTATAAATGTATTTCCAGTTGGTACACTCTCTCTCATCCTCCCCACTTCCAGTGCAAATTGTTTTGTCTTGCCTCATCAAAAAATGAAGTTATCACAAGTGCAAGTGTATAGGTGGAGTTACTGTGTGTGAAGGTTATGCTGCTGTCCTATTGGTGGGCTTTTGTTGCATGATGATGTTATACACCAGTACAATTGATGTTAAACACATAAATTTAGGTGGAAATTACCTCAAGGCTAGTGGCATGCAAATCTCAATAGCAGATGTATGAGGAAGTTAGCATTTCTTCATGTGGACGTATCCATTGGAAATACATTTTTAGATGAGGAAATTATTAACATTAATACATCCAATATGTAACATCTAAAACAAACTTCTGTGTATTGGTTTGCAGTTTGATAATTATGATATATTTTAGTAGTTTCATCTGCATTATGTGATATATGGTTTGGGCTATAGCATCCTCCCACTAAAATTAACCGGTAGTCATAGGGTTAACATAGATTAAAATGTAGGGTTATTTTGAGATGGGAGAAGAATTTTTTTTGTATAAAATCTCTCTTATTAGAAGTTCAGTTTCATAATTAGCTGTTGAGGGGATTTAAAGTTCAAGAGAGGAAATGGATATCCAGTTTCTGTATTATGTTGGTAGACAGTAGAGTTAGTAACTTCCAGTTTTGATTTATATATCCACATGTTCAAGTGCTTATACTTTATGATGGCATATAGTTTCACCACTACAAGAGGCCTTATAGTATCTGTGCATGTATAAGTAGGTGAGACATGAACATTGGGCAAGCGGTACATGATCTTTGTTGTGAAAACAAGTTTTTAATCACTCCCTATAACAGTCCTGGGTAGCTCTAAAGTTGGAAAAGTGGAAACACAGGTGATGCTTCTGGTTTATATATCCAAATGTATGTATAAAAAATTAGACTTTTGGACATGAACCATATTTTATTTTTGTTTTCTTGGCAACATTTCAAGAAAACACTTTTTCAAGCCAGAATGTTGGTTAATGACAAACTATTGCAGAATGTTCTGATTGAAATGCCATTGCATGAGAAATTTTACACACGATAGAAAATTGAGACTAAACCATAGTAATGACACCGTAACAAAGCAGAAGAGAAAAGTGACAAGGTATTGATTAAAACTAAAGAAATATATATATAAAATTTACGAAAAACAATTGGTATAAAAGAAATGAAAAATAATATAAGAATATCTTGAAATTTTTAAAGAAAACATTAAAAGAAACGATGAATAAAATATATTCTTTTAAATTTATAAAAAGCTGTACTATTCATTAGTACCAAAAAGACTTATACAACCTAATTAAGAAATTATTTCTTATATTTTTTCTAGATTCCGATTTTTTTTATTGGTGTTTGAGGGAGAATGCTCAATAGAATGACAAGCTTTGTTTAAGTGCAGAGCCACAGGCTTATCTTGATCTTTAACCAAAATGCTACATAAGTGCTCATGTGTGTGTTCAGTGAATGTATGGTTGATTTCTCCGTGCTAAGTTTTGTCTCACTTGTCACAAATAATACAAAATATTAAACATTTAGACTTACAGGTGAAATGGCTATTAACAGAATTGGCTGACTTAAGGTCGTTGACAAATGCTCTTATAAAACCAAATGATAATACAACTGACATATTTAAGAGATTTTTGCTATCATTTTCTTTGGGTTCCATCTCAAATCTCTTCTCAGCTAAACTAATGTCTCCTGTCAATGTTACAAAATCTTAAGGTCTCTTCTTTCCCACTAAATAGGGAATTTTTTACCCTGATACTTTTTTACATGTATGAAGAAATTCCGAAGTGGTGAAGGATTTCCCTGATCCAACAGCCTGCAGGATGGTTAAAGGAAATTTCTATTAGAAATACTTTATATATATATATGTATACAAGAACATTTTAATACATATGTGTGTGTGGTTTAGTTTCTTAGTTTCTGTTCTGTACCAGTTTTTATGACTTATGTAATATATATGTGTTATTGGTTCTATATTGTATACTTTGATCTGCACAGTATAGCACCTAATCACAAGTACAGTGGTTTTTGGGTTTAGAAATGTGTGCAAATCAGTTTTTGAGTAAACTATTATATGAATTTTGCTTTGTGTACCAGATTATTAAAACTATGTAAGATCTGCTTTGAGTAGAAGTCTGTGATTAATATGATTCATGTTGCTCATCTTTCAGAAACTTTTCAAGACCTTTTGAGCCACAAAGATGCATTGTCTGTTCGAAAAGTGTTCAAGGATTTCCACCATTCCAGAGTTCTTGTGGACTTGTTGTTGGACATGAAGGTAGTGCATTGCAGCTGATCTATTGTGTAAAGTTCCTACTGTTATACTGTATAAAGTATAAAAACAAAAATGAAATATACAAGTAGATGAATCAAATCAGTGCTTGAAAAATAATGTATATAAACCTAATACCGATAAACCTGCAGTGAAATAACAAAAAGAAAAATATGAAATCTTCTCAAAGACTTGTGTTCATTTGATAGTTGTTGTTGACCTGGATATGAATGTAATGCATTGTAGCTGGTTTTTTATTTATCTTTCTCATTATTATACTTCATAAAGTATAAAAACAAAAGTAAAGTACACCACTAAATATAATAGATCAGTGTTTGAAAAATAATGTATATAAACTTAATATCTATATACCTCCAGTGGAGAAAAAAAAATAATATATATATATATATGTGTGTGTGTGTGTGTTTCTTTTCTGTCAATATGAGTTTTCTTTAATCTATCACAGTGAATTTTATTTCTAATCCTTGTATTTTGTGGTAGTCTTTTTTTATGTTAACACCTTTTGAAAAAGTTGTCATTTGTTAACATTTCTGTTATGAAAGATTTTTTAAATAAGCTTAGTTATATATTATTTAGTGGAAAGTAATATTAATAGTAGTGGTATTGTTTTTTTAATAATGTAAGACAATTTTATTTTATTTTCATATACTTTCAACATATTAGAGAAGACCAGCTTAATGACAATAGTTGGAAGTTCTTAACTCCATTAGGTCCTAATTACAATTAGCTTAGACTTATGGTTTTGATTGCTAGAACACATTATTGTTTAAAGAAAAATGCTCAGCAGATTGTTGTGTTGGTTGTAGAAATTGTTATTGTGAATGTGTATTACTTTAACCATTGTTATTGTTTAATTTCTGAATTATGTTTGAAAGATAGGTACATAATAGTAGTATGGCAGTATGACACAGCAGTTACATGTGGCCTATAGAAAATATATTATACAGGTAGAAAACCCAGCTTCCTAATCTATTAGTTAAACTACAGGCTGTTTAATAGGACATGAAGTACATATCTGTCTGTTACGCTGTACTACAGACTTATCACACAGGTTACAGACACAAATTGATAAATTGATTATAATTTACAAATTCAACTAAGATTCAAAAGTTTGAATGCAACAAGCTGTTTATGAAATGCAGATATATTATTTATCTTGCAGTTAACATGTAGCTAAAACAGTGGTTGTTTTGAAGTTGAATATTTACTGTTTAATCTATCTAGGGTGTATCACTGAAAAATGAAAAGGCTTTGGTTAGAAGTAGCAAAAAAATATAGGTACACACTTTTTTGGCCAAGTAGTGTATGAAGAACACTAATTGTAATGTTTTTACTTCTCGGTGATTCTACTGTCCAAATATATGAATGATTGGTGGAAATGTACCCACATGATGTCTGTTGAATTACTACACTTAATATGTAATATACTAAATTCTAAAGAACAAGTCATATAAATAGCACAATAAGTTACATATTAACTTTGTTAACTGTAGTTATTCACCGTGATTTAATGTACTATGAAAAGCCAGATCATGATGTTTACTATTATAAGTTAATTTTTTAATAGTATTGTAGCTTTTTTGCTTTGGTTTGTTGTATCGTAAAAGTATGGAAATACTTATGTTGTTTTTTTATACTGTAGTTAATGCTGTGTTTTAAAGTATAGAAATGAGTAGTATTCTGTCACAGGTTGATTATTTTATACTATTAGTTTTCTCTGTGGTTTATCATTAAAAGGTGGAAATATGCTATTAAAAAGTTAATTTTTTCTTTCTTTAACACTCTCAAAGCTCACAGGATCTAATCGACAAAAGTTGGCTGCAGCAGTAGTTAATACACTTACGATATTTGTGGCTTGTGGAACAAGACACAAGGTTAGTGTTTTGTTTATAAAATCAAAAGAAGCCATTGAGTAAGGCCAATAATCAGAAATAAATGTAGCATATGTTGTTCATAAATTAAAGAAAGCAAACAAAAGCAGACACTGTCCTTACTGTTTTTAGTTTAAGGAATGTAAGCAGAATTAAACTTAGTGTTCTTTGTTTAAAAACGTTTGTCAGACATGTGGTTAGTGTGTATTCTTCATGTTTTAAGAAGGTAAGTAAAAAGCATGGTTATCATTGTTTCAGATTTAAAATAAACATACTTTTTCATCCTTTTTTTTGAGGGGTGGTGGATAAAATAGGAATTATGACATGCTAAGAGAAAATGTGTCGTGTTGGTCACACTAGTGGAAATTCAGGTTTTTTTTTAAATTGCCTTGTATAATTAATATAAATGTGTGTAAAAGATACAGGGTCATCAAGCTGTTGTGGACATTGGAAAAAACCTAATCTGTTGATTTAGATAGCAGAATAATTTTATTTAAACATCTTTCACACAAAAAAGACATTCTATTAAGGGATATAAAGTTTTTTAATATACTACAAAATATTGCAATACTGTGTTAAAAAGTCACTTCCAATGTGTCTTTTCTAACAGTAAGACTGTTCATTATGGCCATCACAGTGGCAATTTGCAAGTAAGATTGTGAACTGCTTTACAGATAATGGTGAATTTCTTGAGCATCCATTTTAATTCTACATTACTACGCAATAGATGATATTGCATCACAACAAGACGTTCAATTATTTATTGGATACATTTGTAGAAATAAACCTTGGATTTATCGAATATTCTAATATTATCAATATAAATGTTTGATATTACTGTAAAATATTGTATTTTTAAGCATTGGAAACACTGTCTTCGTGGTATTTGTTGCAGTTTGTGATTACAATGTGAATTTTGTAACATTATAAACTCTAACATAAAATACCTGTGCTCCAATGTAGGGATTAAAGGCTCCCTTGTGATTCACAGAGACCTCAGTATATCAATCAAGTCCACCATTATCTCCATTTACTTCTATAGCTACCCTGAGGGGGTCTATACCCAAAAGCATACCCCATTAGGAAACCTGCCTGTGGTATCTGAGCATATGTCACATTTGGTCATGCTAGTTTGTGAGTATGGTGTGAACATGGCTTCGAACATGATGCCCTTAAAACACTGAGAGAAACCAGGAACACAAAATATGATGCAAGAGTTGAGTTCAGCAACCCTGAAAACCTACTCCTAGATTCCCATCATGCCTGGGTGTCCTTTCGGGCACATTTTAGACCCCATAAATACACTCTTGGTATGACAAATAAATTTACAAGCACACAGTATGTCTGTGAATTAATATTGGATTCATGCTTAATATTGGTTGTTCCATAGTATTTTAAATATTTTGAAATCTTCCATCATGTTAACATACAAGTAGTATGTTCTGATATAAATTTTAGACTTTTTTTATATAGTCAAAATTTGTTTGATATGACTGTATGATACTCATTTTTAATTATTATTTTATATTTTACATGGAATTTTTTTTGCAAATTTCTCTTCTCAGTCTTGTTTGTAATATGCTGAACTAAAGTTCAATGATGATACAGTTTAGGTATTTACATTTGATAATGAAAAGATAATTGGAATTCCTACTATGATGTGTATTGTAGGATAGCAATTATATATAAGCAAAATTTTAATTAGTTTACTGTAATTATTTTCTTAGAGTGTTTTGAATTGCATGAACTATAATGACAGCGGTTATGGAAAGATACATGAAATACAGATGTTTTATATATTTATATCCTAGTTTCTGTAGCTTTTTATAGGGGAATATTTTGCTTAATGGTTTTTATTACTTTAGTATCACTTCTTAGAGGCTGTAGGATTTGAAAAACTGTTTACCAACTTAGAAGCTCTAGGAGAACCTTCTCAAGCCCTTCTAGAAGCCCTATTTAGTCTTGTAAGTACCAGTTTAAAGTTAAGAAACTTTAAACAGGTTATTATTGTTGTTGTTTTTATAGTGTTCTAACAATGTTCATAATTTAATGTATTTTCCAATTATAATTAACTAACATATATCCTAAGTACAAAGTTTATCTTCTAGTCAAATATTTGAAAGCTGACAAGGTGTCTTAAAAGTTTTTACCCTTTGTCGATAATTGGGTTAAATTGCACATGTCACAACCTTTTTGCAGAGTTACATTCAAAATGTAATTAAACAACTTTGTTTTCAGTGTATGTTGAAATATTTGGCATCAAAATGTTGTTTATAACTCATATCATAATATTGTACTAAATGTAATTCTGCAGGATTCCCAAAAGTGTTCTGTTTCAAGAGTAAATAAAACCAAAATTAAGAATAACAAATGTTTTTATTTCTTGCTTTTGAAATTCATATGTCATGCTGTGTTGCAGCTTACAGAATGCATAATTCTACTCTTGATTCATGTACAAATTACAATGTTAAGCATCCCTTATGTGACATCATTTTAATGTCTACTGATTAACTTACTGACAACACATAGCATCCAGTCTTCTTGCTTTACTGAGATATAAACCAGAAAGTGAAACCCATGTGTTACGCCCTCCTATCACATCCTGTCTTTCGAAAAATGTCAGTAATTCTCTCTAATTTTTGCTGTTGGATTATTTATAACCAAAAGAAAGAGAAAAGTTTGATTTAGTGAATTCCCTATAAGGCCACCTAATTCTGACAACATTTTGTTTATTATTCTACAATTTCATTGTTTGCAGTCGCTGAGATAACCTCAGCCAGCCAACAGAATTAGTTTAACATACTTATAGCTTAGCTAGAAAGTGAGTTAAATTATAATAGTTTTAGGACATTATAATTTTTATGCTTGTTAATATTTCATTTTGTAAATTTCATATTTGAAATAAATAAAATTATGTACTACCAACAGCTATACTGAAAAAATAAGATTGACTTTGTATAAGACCTACATATAAGTATTGAATTTTTTTATTTTGTATACTTTTCACTTATTGTTAAAAAAAGTAACTAAAAATAAAAATTAAAAACATTAGGTGAGATAAGAAAATTTAAATGGAAAAACTAAATAACAAAAAATTACTCTTGAAAGCATGCACACATTTTCAGCACATCATGATTGTAATTTGACTATTTACTGTTCATTTAGCGATACCTGAAGAAGGGCATTGCCCGAAATGTTGTATCCACAACAGTATATATATATATATATATCTATAGTTAACTCCTTGGTGGTTTGACCTACAACATTTTTTTTGTTTTCATCTCTTTCAACATCCACCACACATAATTTCCTACACATTTAATTTGACTATGTTTGCTGATAGCTCGATCTTTTGTTTATATAAAGCTGCCCTGCTATGATAAATTGTTTATGCCGTACTCCAAGTGCAGTTGTAAACCAATAAATATAAATCACTGAGAGATTTGAAAAGTAATAGTGTTAGCTGTAAAAATAAATAGTATTTAATTGGCTGTTACAATATGCAGTCATTCTAGGAAGAAAAAAGGGGTAATTTAGATTTGTTTTATGTTTTTCAACTTATAATTTTACCCTATTTTGCTCATTTTGCTACAGTTAATGCTAGTGTAGAGAAAGTAATAGATAAAATATGAAGATTTATTGAAAAAACTTTTGATATTAATTTAGGAGGTTCTAGAGGTTGTGCAAATGAAATATGAAAACTGTAAGATGAAAACAGTATTTTTATTACTAACATGAATAGCACAATTGCCTTTTATTCAGACTGTACCTGGCATGGCCTGGTGGTTAGGGCACTTTACTTGCAATCTGAGGTTGGCAGTTTCAAATCCCATCCAACATATGATTGCCCTTTCAGCTGTGGGGCCATTATAAAGTGACAGTCAATCCAATTATATCTTGGTAAAGAGTAACCCAAGAGTTGGCAGTGGGTGCAGCTGACTAGCTGCTTACCCTCTGGTTTATAACATCAAAATTAGTGATGGCTAGTGCATATAGCCTGGAATAGCTTTGCATGAAATGCAGAACAAGGTACTAAGACTGACTCAATGAAAGCTTTATAAATTCACAGACAAATTTTCAGTAAAGGGACTTTATCAAAAAAATTTTTTTTTGTACAACACAACAGACTTGTAATGTTACTAAAAGCTTATCAGATTTCATAAAGAAACACTTAATAAATTCAAACTTATAATATGTATAGTTTCATGGTCATATGGTGATTACAAAGTTGGTCAAAATGACCAAGCACTATACAAAATGTTAAGCAGTTGGTAAACAGCTGAGTTGAGCTGTTCATGCAAAAGAAATTTACTTATTACCAAACTGAGGCCAGACTTTTATTGTTGGCCACATTTGATATCTTGAAATAATTTAAATGCACATGATATCTAGTGACGCTCAAAAGAAGCAAGTTCTTACACAATTATAAAATGTAACTTTGTTCTTGTCTTATAGATTAATTCCAAAACTATGACATTTTACTACGTTATGATTCCAAAGTCATGTAAGTGGGCATGCATATATCAAAAATGGGAGCAAAATTTAAATGAATACAAAAATAATGTCATTTTGGTTGTTAATTTACTCTTTCTTAAGATGTTTCCAATCACTTATTCTGTGGTAATCAGGTACAATGATATGCAACAGGTCAGTCTATAGTATCTACAAAATGCAGATTCCAGAAATGTTATGCAAAGAATAAATTGATCATGGATGACAGAAGGATAAACATAAGTACATAAGTGAAACAAATGTTTATTGACAATAGTGTGTGGTGTAGTTTACTGACTGACTAGCTTCACACTTTCCATTTTGACCTCAGTTTGCTGCTTTGGTGATGAGATTTTCTGAATGCCTGTGCAGACATGACACGAAATCAAGACCAGAGAGCAAAAATACAAACTGGTGTGAATATCTCACTTTTAAGTGGAACAAAAGCCTTAGTGTGGTATCCCACAATATATTAGGTAACATATAATTCTAAACTATACCAAGCCAGTTTATAACCTTAATGTGGTAACCCACAACATGTTAGGTAACATATAATTCTAAACTATTCTAAGCCAGTTTATAGCCTTAATGTGGTAACCCACAAATCATTTGGTAACATACTTCAATCTACATACAAATCTAAACCCTCCTAAGCCAGTTTACATAGGTTTTTATCACTTGTTTGAGTAGGTTATATTTGTATAAAGGACATACAGAAACATATGTAATAGCTTGAGACTTGCATCGTATAATTTTTATCTGTGTAAAATGGTTAGCATATATTTATGACCTTTTGATACATTAAGTAGTTAATAGTGTTTTTTACTTGATAATGATTATTGATTAACTGTTTTGTATGCAACAGTGATCTTTTAGCTTTACAGGATTAGTTTTTATTTTAGTTTATAGTGACTGGCAAGTAATAATTATACACAGTTATTTTAAAGTTCATTGACTTATCTTAATTTCCATAATTCAAAAACTAATCAGCAGAGAACAAAAATCAACATGAGTGAGATCTAGAGACCATGCTGGTCATGTGTATGGAAAACCTCTGCTGGTTACTTTAACCCTCTCACCATAGGCATCTTTTACTGCACATGTCACAAGGTTTTTAGTGAGTTGCATTCAAAATTTCATTAAACTACTTTTTGTTCATGTTATACCAATTAGTATAGCATAAAGTCATAACTAATAACCCATATTTTAACAGTATACAAGTTTTAACTTTTTAATTTTATAAGATAATATTTTAAAAAATCCTTAATTTCCTCTAGTGTGAGAAATGTGACATGTTTTCTCTAGGCATCCCTCCTCTTCTCTAATTTATTTACTATCCCTTCAAAAAGTATGAAATTTAAATTAAAATACTCATTATAATTTGTCATTTTTCAGGCAAAGCATAAATTTCATAGCCTTCAATGTTGTCTGGTTACAGAGCCATAAAATAGAAAATCAGACCCCTCTTGCCACACCCACCTGTCATATCCTCTCTTTCATGATTTTTCAACAGTTCTCTTTAAAAAAATACTATATATTCACAGACAAATCATTAGGAAAAAATACTTCAATAGAAATCAGATTTTTTGTTTATAAATGTTAGTAGCATCAAAACTATAATAAGTACAAGGTGGTCACATGGTTGGTCAATCTGACCAATCCTGTATTGAGAGAGTTAAAGCATGTCCCAGCAATGTCTTGTCAGTCTGTGTAATTTTTGATGGAGCCCCATCTTACTCAAAGACATTTTCTCTCAAAACTCTTTTTATCTGAAGTTTAGAAATGATAAGCATTCATAAGCTTCATTGCTGGGCACTTCTTTCTGTTCAGCCACTTTCCTATCAACTTACTTTAATTTTGCACTATTGTTATTTCCGTGTCTTTATTAATGCTTTTGAGAACAGTTCTAATGTTCAGAGATAAACTGCCAGGAATTATTTCGAATGGGAGAATAAACCCTGCTGTGTTTGTTACCGTAATTATACCGTCACTGGTATGCAAGTTGACCTATAGTGCCTTTTGTTGAGAAATATCTTTGACTCTGGAATCATCTTTTCCATCGTATCTTTAGTTGAGCTACCAAATGTTACAGCTGTTTGTTAATAGTTATTTGAAATATGGATGTAAGAATAGACCATTTAACTTTGTAATAACACTTTGTATTCATTTTTGCCACATTGATGAGTCTTCTGTTTTTATTGTTTTTCTGACAGAGCACTGAAAGTTCCCCCAGGTCTAGTGAGGTGTCCATCAGGAATGCTCAGGTTATGTGTGCAATTATTAGATGGCTTCCAAGTATTAGCTCCTGGGACCTTCAGGCTTGGACAGTAGACCAAATTCTGAAAATCTGTCATTCGAACATCCACAGCAACGTTTCTTGCTTTCAGGCTCATCTTTCTAGTGTAATTCTTTCTGTTTTAGAAAATGAAAAGATGTTAGGGGGAAAAACTGTAGGTAAGTATATTTTTTCTCTAATGGTATGCACATTCTGTTGTTAGTACTTTTGTGTGAATATTCATCATAACATTTTAATTAGTTTTCAAAGTTTGTAATATATTTTGAAGAGCTGAAACCATATTTAGAAATTAACACAAATCTATGAAATATTCTTTATTTAAATTGAATATAACATGGCACATGTAATTTGTTACACTGTCAGCCCTTGAAAAAAAAAGTGTATGTTGAAACATCAAGATTAAATAAAGTATTTGTCTGTAGGTGTATTTTAAATAATAGTCATTATTTTCCAGTATTCTTGATAACAATTATATGTCACAATTAAAAATATAACTTATGAATTTAGCAGTTTCTTTGTTTTTAATTTTAGTGTAGGTTTGTTAACTGCTGTGTTTTTGTTAATTTAAATTTTTACTATATACATAATCTTTGTTACAGTCACAGTTAAAGTATAGCTAATGATTAAGCATTGCTTGTGAAGAGCCTGGACACAAAGTGGCACTTCTATATATAATGTGGTTAAAAGCTTAAAAGCAACAAATTACAAAGTTTGTTAAAAATTAAAATAAAACATCCTTATTAAAAAAAATCAAACATTTGTTAATTCACTTTTTTTTTATTTAATTGTCAACAATTTGTTGTTGTTCAAATTTTACTATTGTAAAATATCACATATTCTTTTATATTTACTGTTTTTTTTGGAAATATTTCCAAATCAAATATATAGCTGAGTATAAGAAACTTAAAGAAGTTCATGTCCTTTAAAGTTATACTAACCAACGAGATTCCAACCAAGATATGAATTTTTTTTCTCAAGGACTTCCAAAAAATTAATTTTTTTTTTGTTCATGTTAAAACAAAATAATTTTGTGTACTAAGGGTATACAAATTGAATGATCACATTTATTTGATATTTTTTGAAAGAAAAACTTATGAAAAGTATTTTAAGAATTAACACCTAGCAACATGATTCTGCTGAAATTACATAGTTTATAGTATTTTAGTCTTCCAAGCATAAAACATACATGCTCAGATATTGGACAACCAAGGTTTTATCTAAGTTTTCAACATAAACTCCATTTTATGAAAAGTAACACTAATTTTGGGCAAAATTGCATGTAAGGCAAGTCATCTGGAAACATATCACAGTTTTTTAAACTTAAGTACTTTATTCGTGTTTCAATTAAGAAAAAATTATATCAAATTGAAGAAAAATTTATGATTAATGATTTAATGAAAACCTCATTTAATACAGACTCATATTTTGACCAAGAAGAAAGCCTTTATACGGTTAAACACCTAAATAAAAATAAATCAGTCTGATAAGAAAACTTCAACCCTGAAGTGCTGGTGCAATGGTGCTAAAGCTTGAGTTATTGACAGTTTTTTTGTAGGACATAGAACTTAGTAATTTTTATAAAAAGTTTTGTTTTTATGTTGTCACACATTTTTTTATTTAAGAACTTGAAAAAGAAACATTACAATTAGAAATAATATGTTTTACTGGTCCTGCTGCACACAATTAATAATATATTTATTTGTTCTTTTGTTGAAAAGCAAAATTTTATTTATCTTTTTATTTAATCTATCACTATTTCAAATTTTGAACATATTCAAGCCCCTGTCTTTCTGGTCTTTTTGTAGGTTGTTTACTTAAACTCCTTGGAAATTTAGGATCTCATTCCATGACACTTAAGGAACTGAAGCAGCTCATTCTGTTGTTAAGGCCTGACACTGAAAACATGCAGGTAAACATAAACCAGAGATATATTGTAGTACTTCTTTCTCTGTTATGTGTCAGGAGAGTTTGAAATCATGCAGTTAATGTATTTATCTCTGTTGGATTTATTGATTAAAACATGCAGGATTAATCTATATCAGAATCATTTAACTGTGTCTTTAATCATATGTGCTGGTTATACATAAAATTGTTTAACATCGTTTTCATACAGTGTTGAGTGTGTTATATGAAAATGATTTTGAATATACAAATCAGCAAGTCATGTGACTTCCACTGATATAAAGTTGTGGTGGAATGTATCAGAACTACATTTTGACACTATTTGACACTTTGTAGGTAGTATGATGCCAATGAAAATTGATTTTATTTGGAAGGGTATGTGACAGCCATTTCTGATGCATAATATTCACACACTCAGTTCATAAAGATGTGTTAAGATTGGGATTTTGAATTTCCAAGATGGAAATATCAGTTATACTTAATTGCATTGGAAAACAAATGAATAAAGATTAACTTGGAGTACCAGGACTACCCAGAAAGAGACCTACAACTATTCATACCCCAGCCTTGGTAAGCAAAATGCTGTCTTATAACAGGTGAGAATCCATGAACACCATTGTCTGTGGCAAAAGCTATCCACATGTGCCAGCCAACGTTACACAACATCATCAAGAAAGATCCCTGACTGGAAAAGTTACACAAGTTACGTGTACACAGATTGATTCTATGGCATGTATGTTCAACTGTCACATAATCCAAGGAACTGAAGAATGAACTTGGTATTCATACTATTCTATACTGGTCATTTGAACCAGATGTAGTACCTATGGATTTCTGTGTGGCCAAACCTTTGAAATTGGTGCTGGGAAACTATTTTCTTAGTACACTAGATGGAAAGCAAGCAAGGAGAAGTGGTGTGCTTTGGATATCACAGGCTCGTCGTGGAGCCTTTTTCAATAGAAATTAAGCTGTAGGGCTATTGTCAAAATGCATGGTCATCAAACAAAGCATGACCAGCTGTGGTGAGACTCCAAAATTGTTTTGATATAATATATTCAACCTCTGTAATTTTAGAAACAGAGGATCTAATAAAAGTATTTTATGTGGCACTGTAATTTAATGTGTATGTTTTCATTATGAAGAAAATAAAATGTGTTTTCAGTAATGAACAGGAGAATAATTCTGAGTAAAATGTAAAAACTTTTAGCCAATCATTAACTGAAGAAGAGTGTATGTAATTGTAAGTATACAGTCTTGCAGATAAACATGGCTACAGTATAATAGATGTGAAACGTTTGTAAAGTTTTTGTATTGTAGAATGTTTTTATATGACAGTAGGAAGTAATTGCTTATTCAATTTTTTGTTTTTCAATGAAAATGTTAACTTTCATAATTTAATTGTAAGTGTATATTGCAATTCTAATTTAAGTGTAATTTAAAAGTAGCATTTCAAAATGTCATGTTAAATATGAGATGATGGAATATTTCAACCTTTAGTTTGTACATCAGTAATATTAGGCAAATACTAGAAGCTTTTTGTGAAACTTTATCAATCAATAGGTTATACAAAATTCTTAAATTTTTATACATTTATATTATGAGACTGTATAGTGATAATATTTGTACATGATTAAGAATACATAGGTGTTTAGCAACTTGATCTTCCATTTTAATGTTATGCTCAAATACATTTGACAGTAACATTTCTACTAAAGGTCTTTGACAAGAAGAAATACTTGTATCCAGCAAAATGTGATAGATGTACATTGTATTGGATTCTGTCACTGGTGTTTGAGGACTTGTATGCAAACCAAATCTGTTAGTTACATTGTGTATATCTGCATGCATTGAGGAGAGTTTAAAGACACAAAGTTGCTTCTAAATTAACAAAATTTTTCATTACTTCTATATTTGTATGGATATCATATATGTATTAAAACACTGCAGTACTTGAACTAATCTATTTTTTATATTCTTTATTATTTCCTTATGACATAAATTGATTAACATTCTACTGGTTTCATGATTTAAAAGGTCTTTCCTTAATTAATATGTAATTTTACAGAGAATTTATAAAAACTTTCAGATACAATATTTTAACTAAAAATGAATAACATTAATTAAATACAAATTTTTCCAAAGATGTGCACATAATATACAATCATTATATAAAGTAAATACATTCAAATATATTCACAAGTTAACTAGCTTAAGTTTATACAATATACTTTTACTCCTTTTCTATTCATTCATCATTTTTTTTTATATTAAAACTTTATATGAAACATTCTCCTGTTATTATAGAAACGTTTTATTACCATAATATTTAACAATTTAAAAGATATACTTCTTGCTCACTGTATTGTCATTTCAGTGATTCCCATTAATATTTTTAACCATGGCACAATTATAACTAACATTACTTAACTACTGTTACTTTTGCTCTCTTACCTCTACCTTTTAAGGTGGTGGCAAAAAATATTTATGAAATATTTTTCAAAAGTTATAATTTTATATTTCAAATGCCTCAAAAAAGGTGGAATACATGAAAATAAAGTTCTTTCATTTCTTCATAACACATTCCTTAAATGTTTACCATCATATAGTAGGCTTTTTTCTGGAATTCTAACATGGAATTTATGTAAATTCATCCATAATATCAAAGTATCTGTTTCACCAACATAGCTTTCACCACCATTTACACATTCTAAAAGATATATTACATTTCTTGTATTGCAATTAAAGAAATTTTTAATGAAAAGCAAAACATCTGTTATTTTCTTATTCTTTTTATAGATTTAACACAGCCTAAATTCCATAAAGTACAGTTCTTTCACTACTGAAAATACCTTCCTTAGAAGAATCTCTTTTCTTCTTTTTTTCTTCTAATTTATATACATTTTTAGGTTGTCATCTTGATAAAATAATGAGTTATAATCTTCTCTTTAGGTTTACTAATCGCATTTTCATAATGTGTTTTTTTTAAATTAAAATCTATTTTTAGCAATTTCAAAACCTTGTAATATAACATTCTCTAGATAATTACACTGAATTAAGAAATGTTTTATCCTTATTAATCTTGTTACTCGAGTTGTTTATTTGGAAAATAAATTATATAGTCTACTCACAAGATTTACTATAACATTTTGTGTGTTATTGATGATTTTTAATAAATCCAAACACTGATGTGACTGTCATACCAGCACATCTAGAAAGGATAAAGTATTCTAATTTCTTTCACAGGTAAACTTAATCTTCTTATTTATCAAATTCAAAACCTCAATAAATGTATTAATATCACGAGTTTCCAGATATCTTTTCCAAATTTTTGGTGTAAGTTGCAAAATTCTTTTCATAATAATTAGGTAATATATTAAATAGTTGTAAAAGTCCCATACTGATATCAGTATAAGTTGAAGAGACTTGTATCCATTGTTGTACCAAAAACTTGATGGAAAAATTGTTCCACACAAGTAAAAAAAAAATTTTAAGACTAGATTTAAATGTTTTATGATAAAACCTTTATTAAAAGTGGGATGAATTGAATCTTGATGTTGACACAGGAAAATTCCACAACTTTAAATCTGTAATCATATTTGATATTTAGATATAGAAATACAACATCTAAAGAAACAAAACTCTGATTTTTTGGCAGTTTTTCAACATAATTCAAAATCATTTTAATAATACTCAGAATATGAGACAAAAATGTTGTAATAATATATCCCAAAATGTAATCCTTGATTACCTGCTACAATTAGTCTTCCCAGAATACTAGGAAGTTTTCAAATATTAATATATTTATTTCTTGTTTCCAACAATATTTTATTCATCTTTTTTTGATTTATGAATCTTTTGAAATGCATAAAAATAATCAGTTTTTCAATTACTCAAAATAAGACCTTATTATTTCTTAGTTAATTTCATCCTAAATTCTTCAGCAGTATCCACTAATTTTTCTTGAATGATATTTATGCATCTCAGTGTATTTAAATCTCCCATTTTTTTTGTAAACCCTTATATCATTGAAATGTTTATAAATCATCTGATTATAAAGTTGGTGGGTCATATTTACCTATAGTTTATTTTTATCTGCATTTTTGAAAAATCAAATTAGAATTCTTAACTTTCTTATGTGATTTCCATTCTTTTAAAATTAAATTATTTTTCCTTTATTTTTCTATAGCATCAATTTTTTTGGCAAATTAGCTGTACTTCAGGATTTATCTTTTTTTTTTAAAAGGTAAAATATGATTTCCATTTACTGGGATGCACATTTATTTGAAACATATTACAAATGTTTTTTAGGTTCTGATGTCCTGGTAGATTTATACATAATTTTTGTCAGTTGTATTTTATTAAGCTTATTTATTTCATTTACTTCCAAATTATCTAACCCTGTTTTATATATATATATATATAATACTGTTTCTTTAGATACATAGAAGTCATGAAATATATTTCTGATTCAGATACATGTATATTTATATGGAAGTTATGAAAGATTTGAAGTCATACAATTTAATGCAAAATCTTTAATATTATTATCAAAGAGTTTCATTTTTGTGATGGTTTGCATTAACATCTTAACAGTAGTGACAGTTGTAGATATTTGCATATGATTTTTCATTAATAACTTCATTGCCATATAAAGGGCTTTTGAACTGTGTTTTTATACAAAACATAAAAGACTAAATTTCAGATAGATACCTTTTTTCTCCTAGTTCCCTTACACCCTATCTCTGATGTATACACTCTCTTCAATGGCAAAAAAAGAAGGATGGTTAGAAGCATCTCATTTTTTTCATTTTCAGGAGCTTCAAGATGTGAGTATTCTAAAAATGTAAAATAATATAAACTTTACAATATTATTGCTAAACTGATTGGCTAGTTTATTAGGACACTCACCTAATATTAAGTTGGACCAATTTTTGCTATAATAGTAGTTTAAACTCAGAGTGTCATAGTTGTTACAATATGCCTTGTTTGTTTATAGTTCTTTTGTTTAGCTAGAGAAGTGTGATCTATATTTAGTTCACGGTGTTAATAGAGTATTATGGGGCCAAATGCATTGTTAATGGTTTTTTTCAAAAAATGACCAATTAATTTGAAGTTGGTGGTAATGCAGGTCAATGAAAATGACAGGGCTCCAAATTAACATATATTTTGTAATATTTTGTTACCTAAAACTATTATTTTGCTACTAGTTATTTGATGCAGTAGCATTTTACTGGTACTAAAAATAAAGCACCATGAATGCACATATTATTTTATATTTTATTTGTAAATGCAAATGTTTAAAAATAATTTTAAATAGCAGGAAGTTATTTGGTAATAGAGCCTCCTGAATAGTGGGTGACTATTTGTAGTTTAGTACTGCTCCATGGAGACACCTGAGAGGCTCACATTTATGGTGCATTGGTAATGTGGATAAAAGTTCAAGGTATGGAGTTTATTTTATAGATGAAAGGCAAAATTAGATGATTGTATTAACATTTTGTAATATATCCTGATTTCTGCTTCCAGCCTTGCTAAAATGAGTATACATTAATTAGGAATCCAGATATTATTTTATCAGAATTCTTATTACACTAGAGCAATTACTGTAGTTAAGTATATCATGACCAAGTAAAGTAAGTATTAAACGATGCACAGACCTTTTTTTTTCTAATGAACCCTACTACCCTAAAAAGCATGCTTCTGGTTTTTTGTTGTTGTTGTTGTTAATGGATGTAATAGACTTTCCAAACCATACAGTACCTTCCCTCTCCTTACCAGATTAGCTTTTCCTGTTTTGTGCAGCCCTCTAAATGTGAACTTCTTTCAAAATGCATGACACAAGCCTTCCACATCCCTCTGTTGAAATCCAAAGTTCCAACATGTCTCTCATGCAAATCATCATGCATCAATTCTCCACCAATAGGAGAGCACTACTATCACGTGACTCCCTCTATGCACCACTACTGAACTATCACTTTGAAGTTTCGCAGTGCTTAAGTGAGGACGTCTTTCTTTAGACCACTGATTACCCTAGAAGTGGTTTAACTTTTTTTAACTTAGCTCAACATTATTTAATTTCATTTCACTTTTATTTGGAAGAGTTTGATTTACCCATGTTTGCCGTGCATTTTTCGCTTGTTTAGTATTTAGCCTGAATTCCAAAGTCGTTGTTACTACCTCAAGTGCATAACACTCGTTTGTTACCGCACTTTCGGGCACAGGCATAGATGACCCATCAGAGGATTTCTTGGCCTTTGTTCACGGGTAGATGGAGCATTGTATGGAAAGCACATTGTCTCTTGTTCGTGTCCTTCTTATTCCTGTACTTTTTTGAGCCTTTTACAACCGCAGGCTGGTGAAATTTTGATCTTCTTTCTTATCTTTGTCGACCATTGGAGGAGATTCTACAGTCGGGCATGTGGATGACTTTGCACACATTCATCTCCCACTACTTGCACCACATCACGTTTTCTTCTTCGTCGGGGTATCGCCTGCTGCCTGTGGCTATTCTTTAGACTTCAGCATGGCTTTAACACAGGGTTAGTCCTTACTTATGCTTTCTTTTTTTTCAGGGACCCTTGCTTTAACTTCACTTTGGATCCCACTCTGTGGTGAGTGGTGCCTGACCAGGTATTCTTTCTGAACAATGAATGGGTTACAGTTAGATGGCTATAACCATTCTCAGCTATATTTATACTCAAACAAACAAAAAAAACACAAATCCGCACTTTACACCATGTTGATTCACACACTTTGTCCATGGCTATAAACACTCACCCTTGAGATGGGGTGTTTCACAAGATCACTAGAATGCGAATAACCTTGTGATGTTTGCTTCATAAAGATGTCCATCCTGGATTGTACCACCCATGAATGGCTTGGGTAAAGCAGAAGGGGATTGCTGCCCATCCTTACCATGCCTGGACTGAACAAGTCGGTGTGTTTTGCTTTTCAAAATAGGGTTTCGTGATCACCCATTGCACTGTCTCGAGTGTAGCAGTCCTTCTGGACTCTCCAACACACTTCTTCCCCACCTTTCTTCCAGTGGAGTATGGGAGTCTTTACCATTCAACATTTCCAAGCTGCTGGGGTGGTTCACCATGGAGGCTACCTGCTCAATGGGTTCCACAAAGATGGATATAACCATTCAGTTCAGAGTAGGGTGGTGGTGTTCTACTGGTGTAAAAGGAGTTACAAGATCCTCCGAATCTTGTCTGGAGTGAGATGCCTAAATGCATGTCACCTCTCCAATTGGGTGCCCTCCTCCTACCCTCGCATGTATGTCAGTTCCCAGTGAGTGAGGTTTGGGAGATTGAGTGAACCAACCACATTAGTACTCACACAGGTTTTGAGTTGTCCATCTCCCCCTTGTGGGTTGCAGGAGGTCTGCGTAGCCTATTTGTACTTCTCTCCTGGGCATTCCCATCATTCTCAGATGATGAAGATGTTACAGACCTGTGGATGTTTCGGACTGGTTTCATGGTCACGGGGGTTGATTGCATGCTTCCCTTGGATACCAGATGACACACGCCCGAGTCCCTAACTCAGTGCTTCTCCTATGATGTTTTCTGGAGTTGATATTACCTCCATTACCCACTTTCATTATGTGGGATTGAATGTATCTGTTTCTCTGATTGGAATTACATTATTGATCTATCCTCTCCCACACGGATGTGCTCCCTTCATATTCCACCATGTTTTAATCCTACCTGTTCATGGCAAAGAGATACCTGGTTCAGAAGTGGTGTGGTGCCCCTTCTCAGATCATGTAATTTGTTTCTCTCATTCCCAGTGGTGTCCTTCAGTTGCTTTCGGGGGATATGCCTGTTCTTCCCTCGCACTGGTCCCTCCCCCTTTTCAGTATGGGATTCAAGCCAATCTTGTGAGAGGAGTGGAAGGTGCAGTATCAGAAGTTATAATTTTCCTGTATGAAAATGTATTTCCGATGGGTACTTCCCTCCACTCATTCTTCCTACCCTTCCTCCTCACAATCTTCCGGTGCTTGCGTCCTCTGCCAAACTTCAAAGTGATAGTTCAGTAGTGGTGCATAGAGGAAGTCACGTGTCACATGATAGTAGTGCTCTCCTATTGGTGGAGAGTTGACACATGATGATTTGCATGACAGACATGTTGGAACTTTGGATTCCAACAATAGGATTTGGAAAGCTTGTGGCATGCATTTTGAAAAAAGTTTGCATATAGAGTGCAGCACAAATAGGGAAAAGCTAATCTTGTGAGTGTAAGGAAGTACCTATTGGAAATACATTTTTGTATAGGAAAATTATAACTCTCATGAAAAATGGTACAGTGTAATGCACTTTCAAGCATATTCATGATATAACCATGCAGAATATTTTATAAAATGAAGCGAGCTTTTTTCAACCTGGTCACTTTCTCTTATTCAACTGATACTTCTTACTACACACTGTAAAAAGTGCATTAATATATTTTCTTATAATTGTGTCAAATTAAAATTTCTGATGAAAAGTTTGAAATAATAGCTAGAGGAAAGGAATAAAAAGGTAGGGTAAGGGTTTTAATTTATGAATATTACAGAATTTTTTAACGTAATTAAACAAACTTCAAGCACTGCAACTATTAATTAATTTGCAAGCCTTTGTGAATGTGTATAGGCTAGTATAACACAAAGTTGCACAAATCTTTTAAATATAATGATGTGATATATAGGTATATCATGTTTTCTACCTGCCTGTTTTAGTGACTTAGAAATTTTTATAGGCTAGTATAACACAAAGTTGCACAAATCTTTTAAATATAATGATGTGATATATAGGTATATCATGTTTTCTACCTGCCTATTTTAGTGACTTAGAAATTTTTTAAGTTGTTTAGTTTCCATCTGTAATGGAAGCAACACATAGTCCAGAGAGTCATCAAAATTACCTTGTTATAGTAGCGTCATTTCCTTTTTCTCTGTAATATGTGATGTATCTTCTGCCTGAAAGGATATTATGGTAATTTACAGCATCCACGTTAAAAAAGGTTTAGTACTGTAATATCCTTTGTAACAGCCAACCATTATTGTGAGGGAACAGACGTCATGAGGTGATGCTATTGACTGGACAGAGAAAGAGAATTTACTTGTTGAATACAGGCCCTATTTCTTTAGCCAATTTCCAATAGGAAATTGTCATGTGAAGACTTCTGTTATGAATAACATGTTTAGTAAACAGAGATTAATCCTGAGGGAAAGAAATCTGTGGAGCTAAACACAGTCTAGTTAACAGGACTATCATTTCATTTGCATAGGTATACACATTGTGTATCCATTTATTTGTTGAAATAAAATTTTGTTAATTCATTCGAATTTGTCTATACCCATTATTTTACTTAAACTCAGTCAAATTATCTTTTACAGAACACTCTTCTTATTTCTTTATTAAATCTGCTGTTATTTACAGGTTTTTGCTTTCTTGTTTGCATCTGATTTAAGCAGATTTCAAAGTGTTTGTCAGCTGTTAAAAGCAGTTATATCTTCACATGAGGCCTGGCATGGCCAAGTGGTTAGGACACTCGACCCGCGACCCACAGATTGACCGTCACACCAAACTTGCTCGCCCTTTCAGCCGTGGGGGCATTATAATGTGATGGTCAATCCCACTATTCATTGGTAAAAGAGTAGCCCAAGAGATGGCAGTGGGTGGTGATGACTAGCTGCCTTCCATCTAGTCTTACAATGCTAAATTAGGGACGGCTAGCGCATATAGCCCTCGTGTAGCTTTGCGTGAAATCCATAACAAACAAACAATCTTCACATGGAATGGATGGAAGCAATTGATTCCTGACTTCTCTTGAAAGAATCATACAAATGAAACACAGTTGGATGTATTTCACAAGCCTGTACAGCAGTCACCAGTGGTTGACAACTAATGTTTTTCCTTGTAGATGTATTTTCTTTCAGTTGCTAATGTTGATAGATTTCTGTGAACAGTCACCAAATGAAATGATCTTTAATAAAAATTCTCTTGCTTGAGGGTTATCCACTATTATGCCCCTCTTGAAAGTTTAAGGTCTTGCAGGCTAAATATATTGCATTATAATACTGCTATTCTTCATTTATAGGACTCAAGTAGTCATATAACACATCACATGGTCAGTCTATTTTGCATATGTAAGTGATTAGGTTGTGAACACGAAAGTGTGCATGTTTAGGGGGTCCTAATGAAATGGCCATTCATTGTTAGTGTGTATATATATATATATATATATATATATGTATATATATATATGTGTGTGTATGACCTGCTACAATGTTTACAATATATTAGTCTGTGTAGTATTTTAGATAGTGCCTGTAGAGCTAATAGTTAGATTGATCTTGTATGTCTGAACAGCTTTGAAAGTCTGGATCTGTAACAACTGCATTAGTATGTGGCAATGTTTGATTTCAAGTAGTAGGTTTGGTTAACATTTTACTTAAATGTTAACCAATTTTAATAGTTCTAGCATTTCTTTCGTTGTAAGATTTAATAATATTTTAGTCCAATGTAACTTGCATTTTAATGATATAGAGTGTTATCTATTTCTGATTGTGAATGGTAGAAAGTGTACTAACATTTCATTTTATAGTCATTTCAGTTTTTCATGCCCCCTAATAGTTCAGCAGTAAGTCTCAGGCTTACAACTCTAAAATTGGGGTTTCAATACCCATGGTGAGCAGAGCACAGATAGCCCATTGTATAGGTTTTTGCTTAACAACAACCAAACCAATTAGTTTTTTCGTGTATTTAGCATTATTTTATATGTGTTAACAAATTGTAGGATGTGTTACAATAACCTTTCATTTTTCATTTTATAGTCTTGTTCTCAGTAAGAAAGTAGTAATAGATCTAATAACATTTTACCAAATGTGGCATTTTTGTATTTTTGCTTTTAAAATTTAATAAGTATATTCAAGTTATCCTTAAATTTAACACTTTTAAAAAGTTATGGTGACTTTAAGTATTAGTAGAAGATAAAACATGTGCATCATTTTATATGTTATTAAGTAACATATCAATTATTTTCACTAACATATTTAAAAATTACAGGGAATTACAATTCATGGGATTCGAAAATGGCCTGGAATTGGCTTTGTTTTCCATGGTTGGTTGAGGCTTGACAAACTTCATCACAAACCAGATATTTCGCTAAAGAGACCTTTACGGAGATTTCAGCTTTACAGGTAATCAACTAACAATCATATATTTGACATAGTACTTTAGTGAGGTATAAAGTTCATACATTCAAAATGATTATTGAAGAAAAATGAAGAAATGTGTATACAGCTTGATTAACACAGTAGACACATAAGTAAACATTATTGAGAAGTTACATATTAAACCAGTATGCTTGCAGTATTTGTGTTTGTGTAAATGCCTCAAAGATTATATGTGGCTTGTTGAACATTGCAACCTGGCTAATATAATAGAGTGGACATAGTAGTAATAATTATTATCTTTGTAATTACAACAAATGTTTTTACTGTAATGGGCTTACAGTCACAAGCCAGTCATTCTGTGAGGATGCCTATTAGAAAGGTATACAATTTAAAACGAAATTGTTTGTTGATTTAAAGATCAGGTTCAGTTTTGTAATTACAAAATTTTCAGACCTGTAATTGTCACTCATCTTTATCTTGATCAGCTATGACAGTGTTGAGCTAATTTAATCATCTTCATATATATAGTAAATGGATTGTCTAAACATGTTCTTTTTTAAGCTGATGTCATCTGCAGTTTAAAAAAAATGTCATTTTATGTTTAATGAGTCCATTAACGATCAGATGGATGAAATTAGTAGGGGATCAGAGCTTACACCTGTCATGGCATGGCTAATCTGTTCTTGAAGTAATATAAAAACCAATTGTTGGAAAAAAAAATATCCTGTTAATTTCTTTAAAACCACTTTATTACAGAATGGTGGAAAATTGATTTTGCAGTCACAAAATCCTGTTAATAAATTTCTGAAATACTGAACAGTAAAAACAAAAATATAAAGTTTCCAGTTGAATATGAATAAGAATCCAATTTATTATTGTAAGGTACTTTAGTATTTAATTAGCAAAGTGGTTTTAACATTGGTGTATATCATAAACCAACTTTCTTCAGGATTATATGCTTATTTTGGTAGTACTGATCCTAAAAACTTAACTTAATAAGAGTTCTTGTGAATTGTGATTACGGGATTATATTTAATTATTCTTCATTACATATAGGAATAACTAACATAAAATAATTTTTTTTAAAACATAATGAATTTAACAGAAACTTTATTGGCAAAAATGTCAGTAAAATGTTAAACTTTCCACTTTTAAAATCTTAAAAGTGATATGCCTAAGAAACTAATTGTGTTACTGTATAAAGGACAATAACAATTCTTAAAAGCAAAAACCTGTGGACAGTGTCTATCCACAGAGACGTCAGATGTGTATCTGAATAAAAAAGTTAGTTTTTGTTTTAAGTATGTCATTTTAGAAATTAGTGATAATTTATCATCAACAGATTTATTTTTGTGGCTGTGCAAATCAACATGTAAGCTCCACTACTAAAGAGAAACTTCTCACAATGCCTTTGATATGATGATTGTATTTGTGAATTTTTAAAAAAATGCCCATTTGAAGACTTCTTACTGTTGCACTGAATTAGGTGAGAATATATTTTTAAGGTTCTGCATTGAAAAAGTTGGAATGTGACAGAAAAATTTAAGCTTTGTGCAGCTTACAGAAAAAAAAAATCAGTTGAACATTTTGTTAAAACTTGTGTGTGTTTAAACATTCTTACAATTTTGCCCAGGTCTTCACGTAACTAAATGATTTATCCTATATCTTAGTCAAAGCTCACAATTGGTGGGGCTTTTAACAAAAAGCCTTCAAAATATGGTACAAATAACTCCCTAATGTTAATTTTTAAAGCTGAAGTTTGCTCCAACATTTAATGTGATTCCTAACTACAACAATAGGTATTGTGTATGTGGTGATGCTTGTAGCATCCTTTCGTGCTTTCCTCCAGAATCCCAGAGTTCATGTTTAGTTACTTGGTAAAATGCCAGACACATTAAAGTACCTATGTTTTAGTGTATTGCTATTAGATACGTGAATAGTAAGTATGTGTGCATAGCTGATATAATATATTAGGCATAAATAATTATAATTATATAAAAGTGGCTAAAATTCACTGATCTAGGCTTTTTGTAGTTCCTCAGTTCTGAGTCAAACTCAAAATCTTTTACATGTCAACTGTAGTAAAGACACTTTTTTTTTAACATTTCAAACTTACACATTCATCCCCTTTCATAAACAAGGCCTATCTGCAGGCCTTATTCCAGTGTTGAGGAATGACCACTAGTTGTGTGCTTGTTGGGTTTTTTTTCCTTCTCTCTTACCAGCTAAGCAAATGCTTTACCAACTAAGCTAAAAGATTAACTCACTAACAACTGCTAATAAAGGCACTTCTTAACAACTCTTTCAATACTCATGGTGGGCAGAGCACAGATAGCCCATTGTATAGCTTTGTGCTTAATTACAAACAAATGAACTACCACAACTGTAAAGAAGAAAAAAAAGTATGGGATCAATGTTTGGACAAAATGACTTAATATGTAGTCAAAAATTCATACATGTTTTTCTTTCCATTATGGCTATTTTAGTATTGTTCTTGTATTTTTAGATTTCACCAAGTACAAATGAGTACATGATTCAAGGGACCACATGTTTGAGCTTTATGTATTTATATATATATATATACATTTATTTGTATGAAGACATTTGAATACATGTGTTTGTGAAGGTTAACTTAGCTTAAACTTCACAAAAAGCAGAAATGTGTATATAAGCACAAGAAGAATGTTATCATATAGTGCCAGTTGTAAAGATAAGTTTGGTACTATCTTTAAAAAGAAGACAAAATTTGCTAGATACTCTTAAATTTATTCAGTACATAAAGCTTAAGGCTGACAGTGTAAAGATGGTTACATGGTATGGATGAATATCTCAAATATCAATTATACCACCCCGACAGTGTAAAGATGGTTACATGGTATGGATAAATATCTCAAATATCAATTATACCACCCCGACAGTGTAAAGATGGTTACATGGTATGGATAAGTATCTCAAATATCAATTATACCATCCTAACAGTCTAAAGATGGGTATCATAGACTATATAGTTTCCAGAATGAACAAGATTTGTTGAACCAAAGAAGGAAGAAAGGGACATCACTACAAATCCTTCTTAACAATTGATACCTAGAAAATATACATCAGAAATAAACAGGAAGAAAACTGCAGACATACAGTCCTATGTCAGAGGATATGTAAACAACATAAAATCAGAACAGTATTCAGAAGCCACAACACGTTTGGTAACAATTAGTACACACTCAACAACCTAAACCCTTAGTGGATGCTAAACACACAATTTACAACATCCCCTGTGAGTGTGGATTACAATACGTTAGAGAAACAGAAAAACCAACAAAAGTTAAAATTCAGGAGCATAATAGACATAATAGCAATCTGTCTGCAATAGCCCATCATATGTCAGAGAAAAAGACCATAATATAAACTGAAATAATATTAATGTAATGGGTTCTGAAACACATAGAGAAAAAGAAGTCTTCTACATCCACCTAACTGATAACACACTCACTCAACCTAGCATAGAAGTCAGCAAAACCTGGATATCACTCTTTAAATCATTTAGATAGTTAGTTGCTTATATTCTAGTGGATAATGCACCAGATCTTCTTCATGGAATCAAATTCCATCTACTACTGTAAGTAGTCCTTTTCATAGCTTACCAGAAGATGGCAGCAGATTAGCAGCTAAAACATTGGATAAAACGAGTTAGTAATTAGCATCTTGTTATTAAAAAAAATTACTAGTTAATAATTAGACTCCGGTGATCGTATAGGCTACTAATCATAACAGTGATATTCTAGACTGAATTATGTTATTTTTAATAATATCTCATGTTTCTAGTTATCATCAAGACTAATAATTATATGTGGGCTAAACAATCCTTAAAGATAATTATATTAAATGTTCATAAATTAAGTAAGTTTTAATTTCTGTCTATATCAATGATTATTTCAGAAAGTATTTTAAACTTTATGTTACACATGGAAACTGTAGCTCTTATAAATAGTCCAGTTGAGTTATTAGTAAGGAATGTCAACCAAGGGGACTTTACACAAGTTAGTTGTGAAGTTTTTGTAGTGTATATTTTATGATTCATCTGTTTTTATGCTATTCATTGTAAAATAACATTTGATACTGTCCAAGGTTTCTGTTGACCAAACATGTATTATGTATTTTAAGAAAAGTACACAAAACTGTTGTAAGTTTAAGGTATGTTTTACAGAGTATCATAGTCAAATTGCTGTTGTGATTTTTATATGTTTGTTATATGATTGTTATATGTTTGCAGCCTATATGGCTACATGGCTTGCTACTCAGCATATTATCAGTCTGCAAAGGTGTGATTAATGGACATGTTTTATAGTTTTCTAAATAGTTATGGGGCTGGATTTGAGGCTTTCTTCACTGAAGACCAGTGTTTGGTTGTAGCAACATCCACGAAGAAGGACTATCATGCAGCTTGTGTGATTGATCAACCCCTTAATGATGGAGCTTGGGTAATTTTCAGTTATTTTGGACTTTACTACACATCTGTCTTTTGTGTTTTAAAACAGATAAACACTTGACACTCTGAAAGTCCATTTATTCTTCCAAATTTCAGTATTCTTATACGTATATAAGAATACTTATTTTGTAACTTAACACTTTTAAGATACATGCTTGAAACAAACTAGAAATGAAAGAACACCACTTCAGTCCTAATTTTATCTATAAAATTACACATAACAAAAAAAATACCATAAGATCATACAATTTTATAAATAATACCATATAGTCTACTGGAAAATAGATGATGGGATTAGCATGTCTGCAAGAGTTGTTTTAGAGATTCTCAGTAAAAATAGGCCCCACACTACTGATGCAATCTCTTCATGCTTAAGGCATACTCTTATCTGTTGATGAATGAAATTATGGGAGATTTTTTCCCTTTCCCTAGTCAGTGCAATCACATGTTCTCTTGCATCATTTGGTAGATTAAGGCATTGGTGTAAATAGCATCTAAGGATGTCCTAGATGTGTTCCGTGAGATTTATATCAAGACATTTTGCTTGGCAGTGTATGGTCCCATTTGTTGTTGTTTTTTTTCAGTGCAGTCCATCATACTCCTCAGGTGTAATATAGAAAAGGGTCTAATCCAGTTGGTCTTGCACGTTGTCATACAGCTTGGTCCAACAAAATACTGCCATTTGGTAGGGCAACAAACTATGTATTCATGCCTCCCCACTACAACTGAATTGCCTGGTGGGTAGAGCAAGATAGCCCATTATGTAGCTTTTTCCTTAACTCTTTCCATATTGGGTTGGTCAATGTGACTGACCTTATAACCACAAAGTAACTATCAGAGTTTTCGTGCTGTAACTTCACAAAATTTGTCATGTTTTCAGTAAACATTACAAACCTTTTTGTACCAAAAAAATCAGATATTTTAATTAACTATTTTTATTAAAGATTTGTTTGTGAATATATGGAGTCAGAGTTTTAACTTCTCCAAATGCAAAGTGATTTTTTTGTTAAGATTAATAATACTTTTCTTCATCTGAAAATTTTAAAATTTCATTTATGTTACCTCTAAAACCTCCTAAATATATATCAAACGTTTTTTTTTCAGTTAAACTTTATAATTTATTGGTTATTTTCTCTACCCTAATTGTAAGGGAACTGAGTTGATTTGACTGACCTTGCAACTACCATAAAAATTTGGAAATTAATTTAAGTTACCATTTTCTCTTTCTTGAATGACTACAGATTGTAATTAAAAACTGCAATTGTTTATCCTAAATAATTTTAGGCACATAACATTCTATATCTGTTTCTACTTAATTTTATTGTTTTATTGCCCTTTGAACTATGTCTAATTAATAATCTTGCCATACAAGCTATAAATCACTCAGCGAACATGTAGCTCACATTACTGTATTGAATGATGTTTTGCACAAGCTGCTTGTGAGCATATCTTGTGAAAAATTTGTATTATTTTTTTCATTATCTTACCTAATCTAACTTAATAAGTTTCTGAGTTTTACATTTTAGTTACTTTTATAAGAATAATTTAAAAATATACATGAAAAACAAAATATACAGTACTTACCTTTGACCTCATTTTTTTTGCCATCAGTTCCCAAGGAAATTTAAGTTTACTTTTTTTGATAGTGATGATACTAGTACACTGAATATATTTTTTTTACTTAAATTATGCACCTCAGAACCCACAATAATAACATGTACAAAGAAAACAATTTCCTATAACTATTATAATTTAACTGGCTTTCTAACTAAGACAAAAGGGCTTAAAATAATTCCCTTTGCTCCTTTGATTGAACACTGGGAGATAAACTTTCAAACTAAAGATGAAATTGACAAAACTCTTTACTGAAAGAATGTAGCATCATATGTCTTTCAATAGATTAAACCTTGGCCTTGCTATTGGTTATAAATGATATAAAACATCAGAGAATTATTGGCTATTTGTGAAAAAAGAGGATGTGACATGTGTGTCTGGTTTGCTAGTTTATGACTGTAAACGAAGAAGACTGAAGGCTATAAAAATTATACTTTGTTTCAGTAATATTTAATTATAATGAGTGATTTACATTAATTTCATACTTTTTTAAGAAGTGATAAATGAAATAGGGAAAGGGGAAGACATAGAGGACAAATGTCATGATTCTCGTATTAGAGGAGATTGAGGATTTATTTAAATATTTTCTTATAAAATTAAGACATTAAAACTTATATAATATTAAAATTTATTCATATACATATTCAAGTTTATTCATATACATTGATAATGAAGTAGTTTTATTAAGTTTTGAATATAACTGTAAAAGGTCTTGACATGCCCTCTTTAACCTACCCATGGTGAGAGGGTTAACAACAAACAAAGAAACAATCATATTTATTACACCACACTCTTTAACTAATTTTTACACTTTTTAAGTTTTCTTACAGACCAGTAACTGCAATATAACAGAATATCTGTTTTATTTTAGCTATTGTAATTAATCTGATATCAAGTTGTCATTTTAGCATCAGCAATATGTATTTATTTTCTACAGCATTGTATAGATATTTGCCATTCTCCAGCTCGTAGACCATTCACGCAAAGCTGTGTGACAGTTTATATTGATGGAAGACAGAAGTTGACAGCTCAGTTAAAATTTCCTTCTTTGTCGGAGGTGAATATATATATTCTAAAGACTATTTGTACAGAGTTTACTGTCATATAACTTTTATGAAAACAAGAGTTAATCCATTCACTTGAAATTTCACTATTTGTACTAAAGAAAAATATGTCATTCATTTGTAACACTAATGTAATGTAAATTGGAACTAATCATTTTTGCTGAAATGCCCTTCTTTGTCTGAGATGCTTTGATATTTTGAATTGTGATGCAAATAGAAACTAAACTTTACCTAAAATGTTCTAATATGCCTTTCTGAGGTGAATTTATCTCTTGAGGATTTCTAAACATAGTTCTTTAATCTTTTTTACTAGCATAAAAGAAATAGAGGCAATCAGTTGAGCTGAAGTTAAATTAAATTGAATTTATATATAGAATAATGTATATAGAATTTAGGATGTAATATTTGGATATAGGAAAGGGAGTAGTTCAGTTAATGATTTATTATGTGTTCGTAGTAATAATTTGCATTGAAAACTTTATAATGAGGTTGTTTCACAACTACAGTAATAAAACGACATATGCTCATTAACAAATTGTTTACAGTGTACATTTAGTTTGAGGTGGGTGTGTAACCTATAGGCATACAAAGTTTGTATCATTTCTGTTATAGAAACAGTTTTAAACAGTTCGCTTTAAGTTACTTTTGTTGTTTTGAGGAGATTATTCATTCTAAACACACATAAAAGGAATTCCATGCTTTACATTAAAAGTAAAAATATTTTGAACCTGAAGTTTTAATTCCCATAATTAATAATCTTGTAATTGCGAAAGTATTATATATATATTGAGTTGTGTTACAGCTTTGTTTCTACATTTGAGATTTTGCTTTTTAATGTTAGACGGGGCTCTTGAAACCAGGTAATATACTTTTTGGATACCTGAAGTTCTGAGTTCATATTGAACTGTTTAATAGCAAAAATTTGATTTGTGCAAACATGAATTACTGCACCTGTAGTACTTTGGCCTTAAGCATATTTCATTTACTAAGCTGGTAATAATATTTGAAACACTATAAAGCTAATTGACTTAATGAAATTCCTGAAAAGTTCATTGATTTTTAGCAAGTTCTAATTCAAGAGCATTGGGAACATTCACAATTAGCTTCCAAGGAATGTACTCTGTGCTTAACTTTCTACATCAATGGACATCATGTAGTAATGTCTGTTTGCCATAGTTGTTAAACACACAATATAAATTATCCTACCAACTTTAATACAGCACAGTATGTTATAGTACTTTAACAAATAGATAAACTATACAAAACATTAATAATTATTTTCTACCATATTGAAAGAACTGGCTTTAATTTTGTAGTTTGTTCTGGATATTTCAATTCATTTATTTTGTTTTGGGCACAATCAGTGGTACAGTTATCGAAATATCGAGAATGTAGTCAGTGGTATTTTCACACAAATCACCAACTCAAGGAAATTTACATGAAAAACAAGAAATTAAGGCATAATTTTTATGTATTAACAAAATCTATAATAACTATTAAATATTTGCTCTTTGACAATACAACAGGTATCCTATAAAATTACCAATTCCACATTAAAACAGACACACTTCCAAATTTATTATAGACTAAGGAAAACAAATTTACAGTCTAAGGAAAACAACTAACACATAACTTTTTATCTATCCTTTTGACAGAAAGTGTGGCCTTGAATTAAACATTCTGGCCAACTGTGCATCAGGGTGATTACTGTATACTTAGACTGGAATGTGTTTATATCTGCCTAATTAATTTCTGATCTTAGTTTTTACAGTAATGTTTCATAACTCTGAATATCTGTAGGGAAAACATTGCAAAAAACTGACTTGGGTCATATAATATGAGTTAACTCTAAATGATTTTTTCATTATGTGTTTGAGTATAATACCATAGGTACTTGTTTTAATTTTTTGTTAGTGTTAGAAATACATTGTGCATGTTGAAATATAATTGTTTAAACATTATTTCATGTTCTTGTACCAGTTTCTTTATTCAAGAAATTAGTGATCTTTGAATATTTTTTATCAACATATACTTCATCTAAACAAACTTCAGTTGTAGGAACTAAATTTCAAAATCTATTTTTACAAAGAGAAACATTATAATTTCAATATCTTTAATGAGTTGTTTAGTTATTGAGGAAATAATTTATGAAATGCAATTATGGTATTGCATCCTGACAGTCATTTACATACTGCCGTCTGGGGACAGGAGGACAAAGAACAAGTTTGCTGGGACATCATGCAAATAATAATGGAGAATCGGTCACTGATTCTACATCAATGAGTATAGGAGGTGCAGCTCTAAACCATCTGACCTCTTTCATTGATAAAGAACGATTGATGTCAGTTGCTTCAAATGTGACCCTCCCAAGATCCATTCAAAATGTCTTCAGAGTTGAACACGACCCAGCTGTACAAGTATGTTCTGTTGGTCTACAGGATAGTAACTGGGGGTTACCAGTTTCACTTCATGGGCAGATAGGATCTGTGTGTCTGTTTCATGATGTACTGCTTTTATCTCAGATAAAATGTTTGTATTTACAAGGTAGGTTATAACTAAATACCTTTCTTTTCCCAGTGTGCAGTTTCTTAATACACTGTTTACTGAATGCACAAAATAAGGTCTTATACAAACTTTAATATTTACATGATAAGTTATGGTTACTGTGTATACAAAATAAGATCGTATACAAACTTTAATATTTACATAAGAAGTTATAATTATTGTATCGACAAAATAAAATTTCAAACTTCAATAGTTACGTGATAAGTAATTTTTTGTTGCTGTTCCTTATTAGGGCAAAATATGTTTTATTTCTTCTTTCTTAATTCGCAATACTTTGTAAGCTACCTTAGCCCACAGTGGGCACTTGCTATCTGGATCTGAAAAAAGTGATGTAAGCTACAGAATATTTTTATAGAGTTTGTTTTATAGCCCAAAAATTTATATATATATCAGTGGATTTTAGGCTAAAAAGATTTTTTTATGGTGTTCAGTATTTACAGAATAAATTAAATTTATGTCGGCTTTATACTTAAATATTTTGTTTTTTGTAATCTGCAGTATTTCTGAAATATGTCAAACTAGATCTGTAGCCTTAAAAAATGTTATTGCTTCTTAGCTGATCTTCTGTAAGGTAATATTCACTAGCATTTGCTCCATAACCAGAAAATATACAATGTTCTTGTAGAACCAAAAACAAACATTTGGCTGTTTTGTTTAGTACAAATAAAAAAGTGTTTCTTGAACAGTCATCAGTAGCTATTGTTAGGTATTAGAATTTCAAATGGTCTGAAATTGGGTTAACTGATAATTTAAAT